TCCCTACTAGAGAGAGAGAGAAAGAGAGGATTCGTCTTCGACTCGTATACCCTCACTCAATTAAACCTCGAAACTCGTGATCGCAAAACCCTAACTCGCTCTGCACCACCAATGGAGCTTCGTTCTCGCAAGAGAGTCGCCGGCCCTTCTACCGATGGTAAAGCTTCACACTCGATTACCTTTTCCCTGTGTTGTTTCGTTTAGGATTTGTCATGTTTGGTTACTGAGAAAGTGTATAGGTACAGTGGGAAAATTATTTGAATTTTCTTCCTAGGGATTGAGAGGGATGTGAATTTTGTTTCAGATTTTTGTCTATCCATTCACAAGCTTGATGGTATAACTTAAATACAACTGTCCATATTGGTTTGGCGTTTATTCTGAAAGCAGGAAATGAGCAACATGAGGAAGAGGAAGATATAATCCAGGGCACCGAGAGCTCTGATGAAGATACTTATTTACCGTCTGCGTCTTCTGCTTCTGATAGCGAAGAAGGTAAAATTAATCTTTCGTAACTACTAGAGATGCATAAGAAGTTTCGAAAAGGATTTACTCGAATTCGATTTTGGGGGTCTGGTGGATTTAGATTTTTGTTCTGTTTTCTATGACTACTTCTTTGGCTGAATAATTTTCCCAAATGTTATTTCCTTTAGCAGAATAGTACTTTCATATTGGTTTTGCCCCCTCCCACACTTCTTTATTTTGATATTTTCCTTTGAAATGAGCAATGTCTGTTTATGGAAGGCTGGAGTCTGTTTTCTTGCTGGCTTACGTGTTTTACTGACGTACATTGATATATTGATGCACGTAGGTGAAGAGCACCAACATAATGTTGACTTAAATGATAAACCGAGTGTTATAATCCCTATACCTAAAAATGGGAAGGTGGGGCGAAAGACGGTCAGAGGAGAACCAATTTATGAAGAGAAAGCACACAAATTGACTCAGCAAGCAGTCGAAATTGACTATTTTGGGTTGCACAAGAAAAAAAAGAAAAAGGGTTCTAAAGACAGGGAGGCAAAGCAGCGCTTGAAGTGGAATATCTGGGAAGAGGAGCATGATAATTGGATTGATGACAATGTTACTGAAGATTTTGATCTGGAAAATCAGAATAATTTGATAAGTGAAGTTTCTGAGGCACCATCGGATCTTATTATGCCTTTACTAAGGTACCAAAAGGAATGGTTGGCCTGGGCCCTCAAACAAGAAGAGTCTGAAACTAGAGGAGGAATCCTCGCAGATGAGATGGGAATGGGCAAGACTATACAAGCGATTGCTCTTGTCCTAGCTAAACGTGAAATTAATCGGACATTTAATGAACCAGGTTCCTCCACAAGCTTTCCTGGAATCAAAGGCACCCTCGTAGTTTGTCCTGTGGTTGCCGTGAGCCAATGGGTAAATGAGATAGAGAGGTTTACTTCAAAAGGAAGCACAAAGGTTCTGGTTTATCATGGGGCCAATAGAGAGAAGAGTTCCAAACAGTTCTCGGAATATGATTTTGTCATTACTACATACTCCATTGTTGAGGCCGATTACAGGAAAAACGTGATGCCTCCCAAACAGAAATGCCATTATTGCGGAAAGTTGTTTCATGAGAAGAGACTGTCAGTTCACTTGAAATATTTTTGTGGGCCTCATGCTGTTAGAACTGAGAAGCAGTCTAAGCAACAAAGGAAAAAGCATCTACAATCAATACCACAGAAGACATTTGAGCCTGTTAAAGACAAGATCAGTGGAAGTGCAAGTACTAAGCATGGAGGTTCCAGGAAGAGATCAAAGCTGCACAAGGATAATGATATGGATTCAGAAGATGTTGGACAAGGCTTCAGCAGAGCGAAGTCAGTTTTGCATGCTGTGAAGTGGAACCGCATTATTTTGGATGAGGTGCGTTGCCTTAATTTAGTTGTCGTAGGGTATTGGTGAAAAGATTGTTGCTATGATTATCTTGAAATAAGGAAATAACAATCAATATCTTTCAGCTAATTATAGGTGGAAGTTGCTTTCGCTAAAATTTATATTAATATCATTTTTTCTTCTGATGTAGCTTGATTTATGTTCCGTGTTTTTCTTAGATCCTTTTTTGTTCAATTTATTGTCAGGAAACCTTTTTTTTTTTCAGCACTGATATTGTTCTTTACTTATTTGATCAATGTTCTTTTGAAACAAATGTCTCTAACTTGTTGTTCAAACTTAGGCGCATTATATAAAATCTAGGCGTTGTAATACTGCAAGAGCTGTTCTTGCCTTGGAGTCTTCATACAAATGGGCTCTAAGTGGCACACCCCTTCAGAACCGTGTTGGAGAACTGTACTCTTTGGTAAGTTGTACTTTATTTAGGTATATTGACTATATAGTCAGGCTTTTTTCTGGCCATCTGGCTTATATATTTGCAATTGCATTTGCACAGGTGCGGTTCTTGCAATTAGTCCCCTACTCGTATTACTTGTGCAAAGACTGTGATTGCATAACTCTTGATCATAGGTATGATCTAAAGAATACGTGTAGTTATAACTTGCGTTCCTACATTGTTGGATACATTTTTCCTTGTTAAGACATGTATGACAAGGGAATTCTGTGAATAATTAGTGCTGGTTGCTTGTAAATAAACAATTAACTTCTAGCTCTTGTCACTTATTTATCCTTTTTCCCATTCCTCATAACCATTAAGTTTTTATTTGAGTTATTTTTTGTCTTAAGTGCTTAAATATTTCTACTGTAATACATATTACATACTTGTGACCCTGATGCAGTTCCTCAACACAATGTTCAAATTGCCCTCATAATTCAGTCAGACATTTTTGTTGGTGGAATAAAGTGAGTTTGCAATTTGTTATTCTTTTCTCTTGTTATTTCCTTATATGTTGATTTATTTACAGAAATAATTGTGCTTACATGTGTTGTAACCCTTGAACCTTGCAAGTATGTGGCGACGCCAATACAGTTATATGGAAATCAATTCCGAGGAAAAAGGGCGATGCTATTGCTAAAACAGAAAATTTTAAAGAACATAGTCCTGCGACGAACTAAAAAGGGCAGGGCTGCTGATCTTGCACTTCCTCCTAGAATTGTAAGTTTTGTTTCAACATGACAATGTCTGCATTTCTGAAGTCTAGATTTCTTATGTTCCTTTTCCATTCTGCTACCTATAGGTTTCATTGAGGCGGGACACCTTGGATATCAAAGAACAAGATTATTATGAGTCAGTATATAATGATAGTCAGGCACTATTTAACACGTATGTCACCCTTTTCTTCCTCTGCTTTCCTTCCCCATTTGATAAAATGAGATTTTTGCTTTAGTACTCATTTTGAACTTGCATGCAAATTGCAACTTGCAATTTTAAAGTGGCGACTAATTTTTTATCCTCCATGTTGTAAATATCTTTAGCTCCTTCTCTTATTGTTTTTGGAATTCCTCGTGTTTACATATGTTCAATTTTCAAGTCCTTGGAAATTCTAATTCTGGTGTGAACTTGTTTGTTGAATTGAACTGTGTTCTACTACTTTGGCCTGTACAACGTCTCTGGACAATGCTTTTGCCAATGTTAGCGTGCTAATAGCCATTTATAGTTGTTGGATTTGCTGATTGCATTGGTGTATAATATGTTTCTTCCTTACAGATATGTCAATGATGGAACTGTGATGAATAATTATGCTCACATATTTGATCTTCTCACACGCTTGCGGCAGGTGAGTGTAATTATTGAATGTAAAGTATGCTTTCTCAGTTAAAAACTTAACTCTTGTCTCCTTCTGTTACATTTTTTTTACATAGTTCTTTTTGGCCCATTAGTGCTGTACATGTCTCATTTTTGTTTTACTCTCTACAGTCTGTTGATCACCCTTACCTTGTTGTGTATTCTGCAACTGCTGCACTGAGAAACGAAGGCAGGGTTAATAATGATATCAATGAGCAAGTGTGTGGCATTTGTCATGAACCAGCAGAAGATGCAGTGGTTAGTTGATCTTTTCTTCAAGACTAAATGAATGGCTTTGTCATGCTAAATTGCTTTTTCTTTCTTTCTTTTTGTTGTGCTTTGGACATTTTCGTGACAATAGGATATGTCAATCTGGTCACCATTATAGGTTTGTGATGGAAGGGTGGTTCAGATTCATTGTTCGCTTGTAGATTTGTCATAATGTGTTTTTGCTCTTAGTGTCTATGTTCTGGATTTTTTACTTTGGCAGTGCTCCTAAGAGGAGAGTTTTCTTCATTTATTGTTAAATTGATTTTTGTATTACCTACAACTGCTAGGTATTAGGGAAGTAAATAATCAAAAGTCTATATTGTCCTAGATTTCAAGAGTTTAAATGATTGATTAAGTGGGATAACAGCAAAACATACTTTTGATCTGAAATAGGGGATATGATACTTTAATTTAATTCATCGAATAAGTTTATTTATTATTTGTTACTTTTTGTTTTCAGTGGCCAGTTAAATGCTTAGTAGTGAGTATCCTGCATGCATTTTAAATTCTTCTACTCTGTCGTTGATTTCCTTCTAAAAGTTTCTTTTGATGTTCCAGGTTACTACTTGTCAACATGCCTTTTGCAAGGCTTGCTTGATTGATTTTTCTGCTTCTTTGGGACAAGTCTCATGCCCTGCATGCTCAAAAGTACTTACTGTTGATTTCACTACAAACCTAGGTGCTGCTAATCAGACTACCAAAACTACCATTAAGGGGTTTAGATCCTCAAGTATTTTGAACAGAATTCAGCTTGACAACTTTCAGACTAGTACAAAAATTGAGGCTTTGGTATGTCATTTGATTTACATCATATATCACCATTTTCTTATTCTTCAAGCATTGCTATGCTGGTGATAAGGCCACCGAAATAGGAATTATATGTGACCACCGACTGGGGTGCATCAATGGGTGTTAGGGCCCTTATTGAGAGGTCGTTCTTGAGGCCTGCGAGGGTTTTACATTGACTCATGTCTCAGGTTGGTCCATGAGGATCGTCCTGTCTACTGATAATGATTTTGGTGGTATACTATGAATTTTGGGTCTGGCCGGTGGTGTCTATTGTTGTGTCCACTAAGTCACTTGTCAAGTCATGTGTTGGCAATTCACTGCTCTTTCCTGTGCTAGTTCACAAATTTTTCACTTAGCCAAAAAATATGGAATCATTGGTTTACCATTTTTGTGCCTTAGCTTTCAGCGTTTGTAGTATTGTTTGGGTTACTGGCTAAAAGAACAATAGGGTATAGATAATTCCCAGAGGCATCCTATTTATTTACTTTACACAACCACACACACATATCCTAGTGTTCGCATTATCTTTCTCAACTTGCTTATATGCTTTCTTCACTGCTGACTGCATTATATGGCTCTAGAGGGAAGAAATCAGATGCATGGTTGAAAAGGATGGCTCTGCAAAAGGAATTGTTTTCAGCCAGTTTACGGCATTCTTGGATCTCATTAACTACTCCTTGCAAAAGGTAAAACTATTATCATATAGTACCAGTATTTTCTTATTCTTCAATCTTGCATCAGTTTTCTGTTTGTGCCGTAAGAAAGTACTGGTACTAATTTAAAGAAACCGTTGCAGTCTGGTATCAAGTGTGTCCAGTTAGTTGGAAGCATGACCATGTCCGCAAGGGATAATGCTATAAAGACATTTACCGAGGATCCAGATTGCAGGATTTTCTTAATGAGCTTGAAGGCCGGAGGTGTTGCTCTTAATCTTACCGTTGCATCACATGTGAGTAATGTCTTCTTTCACGGTTTTTACATTCGGCTTTCATGTGGGATATATTGGGAATTAAGCTAGACTCATAAGAGGATCAAGTGATTCAAAGACATCACTGAAAGTTATGTTTTAAACTAGGTTTTTTTGATGGACCCGTGGTGGAACCCGGCTGTTGAGCAGCAAGCCCAAGATAGAATCCACCGAATAGGCCAGTACAAACCCATCAGGTGCACATTTTATGGATGCAGTGTTCATAAAACCTGGGTTTTCTCCCGTTCTTTTAAGAGGTTTAATATTTCATCTACCGTGACAGAATTGTGAGATTTGTAATCGAGAACACAATTGAGGAGAGGATTCTAAAGCTACAGGAGAAAAAGGAGCTAGTGTTCGAGGGGTAAGTCTGATTTGCGCCTTTGTTTCCTCTTCTTTTGGATTGTCTAAGTTTACTGGTTTTACAAATAGTGATCTGACGCTGTCTTCTGTGCCTTCTGCAGTACTATCGGTGGTTCTTCAGATGCCCTCGGAAAGCTAACGGAGGCCGACTTGAAATTCCTCTTTGTCACCTAAGCCGATGTACAATTAACTTGTAATTAATTGGAATAGAAATGTAACATTTTTGGAAGAACTGATTTTGGAGTTTTAGCTATTATACGTAGACCTGTCAATGGATCGGTTTTTATCTGAATTCAATCCGATTCGAATCCTGTGTAATTAATAGGAAATGGATTGGATTTCTCAATCTGATAATTCAATTACAATATGAATCCGGTAATCTAATTATAAATGGATTCGGATATGGATTATAGTTGATCTAATCCGACTTAGTATGAAGTATAATTTAGTTTTTCTATACTTTATTTATATTAATATTTTAGAGTGCTGATTTTCTCACTCCCAAAGAAATGTAAGTGGACAAAAAAAGAGTGGGAACATATAATTTCCAACAAAGGGAGTGTAAATAGACAAAAAAAGAGTCGGAAAATCAGCTCTAATATTTTATGTGTAAACAAGTCATTTTGGTTTTATATGCACCAAGAGTACACTTAAAACTAATTTTTATGATAAAATATCAAAATTTGATATAAAAAAGAGATAAATACAATAAAAGAAGGGAGCTGATTTTCCCACTCCTATTTTCTTCACTTACACTCCATTTTGCTTTTTAATACTTTTTAATCAGTTTTGTTATTTCTTGTTCTCTCTTTCCTATTCTTCTCTTACCCTACAATTCCCTTTAATAAGAAGACATGTACAATCACTTACTAATATTATGAAATAATAAAACTTCGAGACTATTATGCATACCTTGCTCTCTGCACATCTTAGCTCCTAATGACAATTTGAGTAGTAGCATTATTTGGTTCTTCAACCTGTAAACATGTTAGCCCAAAAAATTTATTAACTATTAACTACAACAAAGATAAATAGTGCTCACATACTTGGTAAAAAAACAAAAAAATTGGCTTACAAATACTTACATTTCTATCAATTTCCAAAATTTAATTTTGTTTTTGTTTTATTTTCTATTAACTCTTCTTAATTTCAATTATGAAAACCTTAATGTAAGAGTAAAGGTAAAATTGGAAAGAGAAAGAACCAAGAAGAACAATATTAATTAAAAAGTATTAAAAAGCAAAAGGGAGTGAGAAAATCAGCTCCCTACAAGAATTGGACTACTAATGAAATTTTGATGTTCTGTACATCTCAAAATAAATCCGATCCAAATCCGATTCCTAATGGATATGGATTGATAGATGCAATCCAATAATCCAAATACGACATGAATTCGATAATTCAATTATAAATGGATTCAAATTTAAATTGAGGCATATCCAATCCGTTTACAGGTCTAATTATACATCAGTAAAATCCAGACAGACACCCTTGGGTTAATATAATGAACTTTTTATTAAAATCCCAGTCAACGAAATCCGTTTACCGGTCTAATTATACATCAGTAAAATCCAGACAGACACCCTTGGGTTAATATAATGAACTTTTTATTAAAATCCCAGTCAACGAAGCCAAAGTAACTAACTGTGGCGCAAGAGAAATTATATTTTTGGATCATCGATCACCCTGTCCTGTAGAGTATTTCCAACTCTCCAATATAACAAAAACATGGACAAACACACTTTGCCAAAACCATATCGGCTTCAGAATGAGCAGACACGGTGGATATATTGCGTTCTACATTTAGTTCAAAAACAGGATTCACCGGTCGCTCCTTTACACATCAAGGAGGAGTCTGCGAGGGTCTTCCACGACATCTTTTATACGGCGCAAGAAAAGAACAGCTTCTCTTCCATCAATGAGACGGTGATCGTATGTCAATGCAATGTACATCATTGGCCTTGGTACGACATTACCCCCGACAACCATGGGACGGTTCACTATTGAGTGCATACCCAAAATTGCTGACTGCGAAAGGAATAAGTAAATAAATAAATAATCTTGGCTGTGAGGTTCTGCTACGAAGGAGACTTGCCCCTAAAATAAATTTTAAAAAAAGAAAGAGAAAAAGAAAAGAAAGAGTAGGGCAATACCTGCGGAGGGTTGATGATTGGTGTGCTCAAAAGGCTTCCATATACACCACCATTTGATATTGTGAATGTGCCTCCAGCCATTTCATCAATTGATATGGAACCATCAGCTGCCTTCTTAGCCAGAGTATTGATCTCCTTCTCTATCTCAGCAAAGTTCATACCACCAGCATTGCGGACGACTGGAACAACAAGGCCCTGGAATTAAAGAAATTTGACTGTGGTTAGTTCCCATGTGGATATGGAATTCGTCTTGCCAAACAATGAATGGCAGAAAATTATCAACTGCAGTCTGTTAAAAAACAGAATACTAGCATACCTTTGGTGTCCCAACAGCAATGCTGATATCAATGTAATCTCTGTATATGATATCATCCCCATCAATGACAGCATTGACAATGGGCAAGTGCTCAAGTGCACTGACAGCAGCCTAAAACAAATTGATAGAAAACTTATGAATGAGACACGTGCACTGAAGGCTTAGTAATAAAAGACTTCCAATAATTTAATAGCACTTTGCACTTCCTATTTTCATTTGGCAATTAATGACATTACTTTACACAACAACATGCTAAAGCAACATACTTTCACAAAGCCGGACATAAATCCCAATTTCACACCATGCTTTTCAACAAAGGCGTCCTTATAGTCTGAACGGAGCTTCATCAAATTAGTCCTGCATTAAACAGAATTTCAGTTGGCCAACAAAGAGAGCCGTTACATAATATTGTCATTAAAAAAAACTCAACAGATGAGGGAGGGGAAACTCTGGCCACTTTGAAAGTAATGATACAGGGGGTAGCCACTATGGCTGGGGTATTTGAACTTACATGTCAACCTCGTTAAATGTGGTTAACAAAGCAAATGTATTCTGAGAATCTTTCAAGCGTGTTGCCACCCGCTTCCTAAGTCTTGTCATAGGAACCTATTGACGAGAAGACAAGTTTATACTTATTTAAATTCCTTTCTCATCAAGTTTTTTAAAAAAAGTTTTCTTAGATAGACAAGGAAGTCTAAACTTACTCGTCTTTCCCTGTCCTTAGGAGGAAGCTGGGGTTCTGAAGCCACACGTTTAGGTGATGGTGGTGAAGGTGCTCTAGCTTTGGGTTGTGCCGTTGTCTCCTTGACAGGAGCAGGTTCTGCTTTGGGAACTTGCTTTTCTGCACTTTCCTTCTCTTTAGGAGGTTCTGGCTGAGCATCAGACGGGGCAACTTGTTCTATACCTTCACCTGATTTTGAAATGATTGCAATCTTGAAGCCTGGCTCAACGGTCTCACCTTCCTTAGCCACAAACTACTAACAATTACATGTTCAAGGTAAAAATGAAAGATCAGTATACTAAAACCAGAACAACTGATTGTAAGTAGTGATTATAGTGATAATCTTTCAAGGAATTTATACTGTGATGTTGCTAAAGTATTACCTTTTGAATGACACCAGCTTGAGGACTAACTACATCAATTGTCACCTAGTGGTAAACGAGAAATATACATATAAGTCAATACATCGATTTAGTGAAAACCCTTCTCAGTACTTAAGAATTTCTATATTTACAAACAGGAAAAAAATTTGTTTTGAAAAACTACCTTATCAGTTTCAATTTGGGCTATAGGCTCGTCAAGTGCAACTTTGTCACCGGGTTCTGCACAAGTATCATAAGCATGAGTCAAAGGAATTCAAATTATGTATACAGTATAATACACACACACACACAAAGGTTCTCCACCTAAGGTATCATCAGAATGAGTCTCAAAAGTCGCTTTATGTGTATTAAATACACAGATAGAGATGAAAGAAAGAACTTATGGAGTTAAAGTATCACAAGACAGCTCCAGTAACATACTCTTTAGGAATGTTGCCAAAGTGCCATCGGTAATAGATTCACCCATGAAAGGAACAACTGCTTCTACCAAGTCTCCTGCATAATTTAACAGTTAAAAGTTGAAACATGTCTTATATATATAATATGGACTATACAGAACCAAAAAAGCATGTAAAATGTTAAGACCATTAGATGATAATTGACAGCATATATATACCACTGTCTGAGGAAAATGATCTATTTCTCAATCGGATAAAAGATTCTGTTTGATATAGTGAAGTAGCTTCCCTGCAACAAATAAATAATAGAACATCATTAGAAAAACAAAACTCAGAACAAAAATTGCACGTGTAATTTGGTTCAGGCTAGGGCCAAAATTCTGATTCTCAATCTAGATTAAGGAAGTCAACTGCAGGAAGATGCGGAGTAAATTTAATATTAAAATAAAGAACCTGCTTGTCTTTGAAACATGATCGCCTGCAGAGTAGGAATTTGAACAAATCAATAACACCACCCCAAAGAAAAAACAAAAAGAAATACACAGGTAAAAGGAGCCCCAAAAACACAGGAATTTTACTCATACCTAAAAGAATGTGGTAGCTTGAGCTCTGAACACACTCAAATCCTTTCCCAATAAACAAAGCCTGTTGTAGGTTAAAAGTTATTAGGTGATTCTCCAAAAAAACTACATACGAATACTAATGTACAATGAAAATTTTCTACAATATCAAGGAAATAAGGTTATATGCAATGCCATCATTCAAATACCTCATCAAAGAACCCATTTTTATTTACAAAAATGCAAAGGAGCAACAGAAGCTCTTTTTTTTTTGTACCTCTTTTGGTACAGTCCGATAACAGCTCGGTGTGGACGCTCCATGCCTAACCTTCCACGCTTGTCCCAACACCTGAGACTGTGCATTGAAACATGCATAATCAAATACCAAACTAGAACACAACCTTCAAGTATTGAAACATAGAACAAAGAAAAAAGTGAAACTAAAACTACACAAAGCAAGCACATTTGGAGCAAAATATAGCAATTGATGGCAAAATGACGACAGTTCGATTGCATACCGAAGCTACTTTACGGCGAATAGTCCCCCAAATCATTGTTCTTCAATTCTTCAGAACCAGACCTGAAAGATTCCAATTTTTGACCAAACAGAAAAAAGTGATAAAAAATTACGTCACAAATCAGCACCAGGTAACTGAAATCGCAACTGTATTTCAATAAAATAAAATAAATGCTTGGATTAAGCTATGAGACTCAAAAGGACAGCAGTAGGATATGGAATTTGATTTTATCGATGTGGTCCAAATCTTTGAGCAGGTAAATAATGGGTTGAAATGGAAGACTGAGATTGAGATTGAAATTCAACGATGTCATATGAACACGATCATCTAGACCTAAAAATCCAAACTTTTTGGAAGAATTATAACAAATTCATCGACATATTTGAAGAAAAGAAATGACAAAAATAATACTCCGTCCAAAATCATACATCTTTTCTCTTCTATATACAATGATTGAGAGATAAGAGTAACTGTTACCTGGTAGCGAAGTAGGGATCCAAATGCTAAAAATACAGAGACGAAAAAGAAGAAGAAGAAGAAGAAGAATGGAGAGGAAGGAAAGTAAAAATTCCAAACGGAAAATGGTATGAGCTTCTAGCGGCTTTCACGCCGACCATCTAACGTGCGTTTCCATCCTTCTATTTTTCTTTTTTCTTTTTCTTTTTCTTTTTCCCCTATTTTCTTTGGCTTAGGCTTAACAAAAATCAAATAAAATTCACTAATAAAATGTTACTATACTATTTCTTACTAAACTCTTCTTCTTGTTTTTTATATTTTTATATTTTTTATATAAGTTATAGTTTAAATTATTCTAAATTATAGGATTGAAGGGTTTACTAGTTGGCCTAACCCACTTGTTAAGGCTCATTTGAAATTGCTGAAAGTAATTTTTATTATAAAAATGTTGAAATTTTTATATGAAATTCAAGTGCATTCTGAAAAAGTTATTGGGAATGCTTATTGAAAAAGCACATAGCAGGTACTTCTCTAGAAATCGTTTCTATGACCTATAAACACTTCTAAATATTTTTGCCAAACGCTGTAAGAAGCGTTTTTTGTAATCAGAAATTGTTTTTAGCTCTTTCATAAGCACTTCCAACCATGCTCTTAATCTTTATAGGATTTAACCCTTTATGTCCAAAAAAATTATCACTCTTGAATTTAAAATGTTTTAATAAATAAATAAACTTTTGAGTTAGTGGATGAATGGTAGCATAATAGGTCGAACCTATATTCTGGTTTTATATAAAGAGAAATCCATATTCTTTTTAATTCAAGGGAAGGGAAGGCAAAAGTTGAACTTGTGCTATGAATGTAGAATGTAGATGTTGAAGTCCTCACATATAACTTATATAATAAGGAAATATATTGTTTTTAAAGAAAAGCAAATATACAAACAATTATTATGTATTTTAATAAATAAAAAAAAGCTTATCATGCTTCGTATGGAAAATTTATATAAAAATGTTAAGTATACAATCAACCAACTAAAAATGGTATTTAGAAGTTTTTCTCTTCATGATTTCTTAAATTTGAAGCTCACTCTCAAAATAAATTTTCAATTCAGAATTCAAGTACTATTATCTATAAAAAAAACCTAGCTTTATTTATTAGGGAGATTGTCTAATAAGTATTTTATAGAGTGCTGCTAAACGAACCCTAAAATTAACTGAGTACATCTAAGTACACCCTAATATTTTAATTAAAATATAAAATTAACTAAGTACACCCTATGGAACTACCAAAAATACCCATAATAATACTTGTAACATTACTTTATAGTTGATTTTCAGCTTGACTTTTTTAATAATGTTTATAAATCTTTGACTTTTCATATGGATTTATGCTTCTACTAAAATTGTTGACACTTTTTTTGCAATTCCAACTTCTTGCAATCACCACCTCTTTCGTTAAAAACACAAATGGACAAATGGGAAATTAAGCACAAATTATCTCATAACATTTTTTGTGCTAGAAGAAGCCAAATGAGCAAAAAGCCATCATAATTATTATATTTATGTTACAAAACAAGAACTGCCAATGGTATAATGAAAATTAAAATAATAATTAATGTCACCAATATGATGCTTCACAAAACTACTCATAACACTTTTTTTCTTTGGAGGGTTTGAACTTTGATCAAGCTTATGTATTGTCTTGCTATCTAATTCCACAACTTTTTTATTCCTAAATTGGCCACCCCTCTCACAACAAAATAGAATTCGACCGGTGATAAACACATAATTATTACAATTTCTACCCCTAATCTATATTTGTTAGTACTTTGTTTTATTGATTTTTGCACCAATTAGAATGTTCCATTGCATTTTATGAATCCATTTGCACTTCATTAAAATATAGGCTAATTCATTTGAATTCTCTATTTGGTAGCTCTCTCTTTGAAATGGCACCCAAACTCTTATCAATTGGGCAATAATTGTTACATTCTATTCTAATATCATGATTTTATATAGGTGCATGTTGGAGCTATTAAGGAGAAAGAATGCATGCATGTGAAGCAAAAAGAAAAGAAAGAAAAGAAATGAAGCCAATTCCAGTCCATTTCCGAAAGTCAACTTGTAAGGCCCAAAACGTACACTTATACTACTCAGATGGGAATACATTCTTCATAAAAGTTGTTCCAATGGGTGTCTATTATGACATATCCAAATTTGAGCCCTATTGGATACATATTGAAACCTCAGGCCTTCCTACACCAAGCCTGGTTCAGAAGAATCGTTTTTTCCAGCAACCAAAAGAAAACCCACATGGGTTGGCAGCAAAAGGCAGCCATAATTGAACACCTTTGAAAACCCATGTGAAGAAAGCTTAAGGTGCAGCAGCTAAAGAATTGAAAAGAATGCATGAAGTGCCACACATGCCAAAAGAAGAAAGGAAAAGAAGTATGGGATGGAAGCAAACAAAAAAGAATTGATTCCAACCACACTAACTTAGACAAGATGAAGTGGGAGTTATGGATTGTATTGGAATAGGAATGGTGGTGTTGGAATTCATCATGATGTTCCTCCCTCTTAGCCCTATAAATAGAGAAGTCTTCAAGCTTCAAAACACA